TTCGCACATAAATAAGTGACACAATATTCAGTACTTACTTTTGACAGTTCACTCTTCGGCCGCTCCCTTTTGCCGTATTTTGCGGGAAAATTATCCACACCCACCTCCGCGCTATGAATTGTGCAATATATGGGACCACGAAGCGCGCACCGGACCACGCTTGATATTTGGGGAAATCGACGGCGCATTTGAAGTACACTTCGAATTGGGACAGCCGTCGACGCGTGGCGGTAACATAATCGCACTCAAAATGCGTACTTCAAGCGTGCGGTCTCTTAATTGGGACACAGCCACTGTAACGAATAGAACACCTGTCCTGTCTAAGAAATAGATCAATAAAGTAAAAAAAAGAATTATGAAGGGACTCCGTTAAATAGGAAAAACAAAGGAATTCAACAAATTCAAATCTAAATAAAATGCAGTGAAATAATTTGTGTTAGGAGAAATACTTTCAGTCACTGTGACATTATCAAGAATAAATGGGAACATTAAGTTTATTACCCTGGAGCTCTTTTAGCCAGTCACCTGGTGAAAAGACTAAAACTAAAAAAAAATAAAGACGTTGACTTTGACATCCCAGCAGCCCCGGGGTCTTTACCATTTTTAACACCTTATTTTTTCCTAGGGGCAACGCCAGCCTTTAAACCACCATCCTCATCATCATACACGCCCACCTCTGGAGGCCCAGTGGAAACCACGTTTGATGTCATCAAAGGAGTCATTAATGAAGACGTTGTCAAGTCTACTCAGGGCATCTATCAGTTTGACCTGTCAGGTAACAAGGAATTAAAGGGGCAAGTCCAGTGGGTGTGTCTTTAACATTTATGTCCATATAAGGAGATTCAATGGGCGTGTCTTCAACCCTTGTTTATGTCCATATAAGGAGAGCACACTGGCGTTTGGTTTCTGGACTTGAAGACTGGCTCGGGCAGCGTGGGGCAGGGCGAGTCCCCCACCAAAGCTGACGTTGTCATGAAAATGGACTCCAGTGACTTCAGCAAGATGTTTTCAGGTAACCTGTCACCATGGCAATAAAAAAAAAAAATATGACTATAGGAAACATTAGTGAAGCTGCAGTTTTGTTATTTCAGGGAAACTGAAGCCCACGATGGCATTCATGTCAGGGAAGCTGAAGATCAAAGGAGACATGACGCTGGCGATCAAGTTGGAGAAACTGATGAATCGCATGAACAAGGCCAAACTGTGAAACTGAAACCCCACCCACATGTATGCAGGCCCCACCCTCTTGCTCTTTGTTCCTGTACATGTTGCCTTAATAATAAAAACACATTAACACCTCAATAAAGCAACCTCAATAACATCCAGGGTGTGTCCAATACCTTCCTTCAGCTGAGTTCAGACAGCCAATCAGAAACCTCCTGGGCTGGAGCACCAAAAGCTGCAGTTTCTCTAATGTCCACTATAGGCTCCAGCAGTGACTCAGCCTGATGTTAAAATGCCCAGCTTTACAGCAGAAATAAACGTGTTTTACAGCCTGATACAGAGACTGTTTTGATCTATTCCCCTCGATAACAGCTGTTATGACAGCAGCAGGCAAGTACAGCCAGATATCAGACACCAGTACTGCTGCAGCAGTACTGTTGCTGGAGTGCATGCAGGGGATTAATGCAGTACTGACTATTTTTAATAGTTCTGTGTCTTTCACGTTTTGAAGTGAAATGTGTTTTCATATCAGTAGTTATAAACACTAACAGATTATCAGATTTTAATTGCAAAAAATGAAAGAAATACAGATGGGTGTAAGTTGATGATTATTAATGGGCCAACTAGAAGTTTCCTTCAGCATTAATTGATGGATGTGTGTCTTTGGTTTGACCCTGTTTAATCCGGTCTTATGTGAATCTGTAAAAGCATGAGTAGCTTTGATAGTATTTACTATTTTATTTAGATTAATTTCCAGTTTTGATTTACTGCTAATAAATCAGTTTGGGATCTGCTTACCTGGTTGAGCAGGTGGCCCATGTTGGGTTTAAGTACAACCCTAATCCTGCATGTCTGCTCTCTAATTTGTTCCCACTTTCCTTTCTACTTTATTCTGTCTTGTCTGAAATTAAATCAGGTTAATTTCTTCATGGTGCTAAAAACAGAAACGAATTTTAATTACACACTAACAAAAAAACTCAAAGATTCCTGAGTGCATCAGCTTTAAAATGTAAAACCGAAGTTAAAATGCACGCATTTTTATTCATACAAATCGGGAACACCAGGGGGCGCTGCTGCTCTGAAGGCGCCCTGATTGTCTCTGACTTTAAACTATGACGCTGCCAGTGTGCATGCAGGAAGGCTTCAGTGAAACTTTAATGATTTAAATTTCCTGTGAGCTCTGTACGGTGGCCCCGTAGTGTAAAACACAAAAACTAAAAACTTGACTTTACAGAACATCTGTAAACAAATGTTTGTAGCTAAGACTGATGCAATAGCATGTCCACAAATGTTTGATGGGTCATCTTAATTTTAGAGGCTTTTTTCTGCTTCAATTATTAGTGTTTTACAGGTGGCTGCTGGACCTCTCTTCTGATCTCCTCCTTACATACTGACAACAATTTAAACCACAATTTTCAAATTTGCAGTCATAAATCCATCAGACAGCTGCAGGTTCTTGTCTGACTACCTCAGCCTTTTTGCCCTTTTTCCAGGCCTTAACAATGTCTTCTTGACAGCCACCATTCTGACACCATTTCTGATGAGATTTTAGTGAACAGCAAACAATCAGCAGAAGGTCCAGATGCAGTGTCAGGTTTTTGTTTTTCCAATTCCATAACTTTCACATACTGTTTGTCCACTGCAGTTTTTATAGGCCTCATACTTCTTCTGTCCTCCACTTGTCCAGGCTCCTTAACATTTTTAAGGACAGCACAGCATGCAAAGATAGGCTTAGGCTGAAGGCATTTTGGGAATCACCTTGTTGATGCAAATATATGTTGTTATGGCTATGTAACTGTGTTGTCTTTAGCACTTTTATTCAAGTAAGGACATGAAAAACACGTTGCCACAGAGTGAAAACAACATCAGGAACAAGGAGCAAGAGAAGCAAACCCAGAAATACCAAGGGCTGAGAGGAGGGGGAAGGCATCAGTGGTCCCTGTCGAAGCACTCGGTGCAGTGACCCCCAGGCTGGACGACTGGCTCCTGCAGATCCCAAGAACAACATCAGAGATCTCTGTCCAGAAGACCGCAGTGCTAGGAACAGCAGGACCTTCAAGCTCCCAGGCCTCTGGTGGAGGACCTGAGGGTGAAGGATAAAGACTGCCCGCAGTGGGGAATTTATTTATTTTTGTAAATATAAACGCACACACACACTGTGTAAGCAGGTTTTTCCACTTCTGTTGCCGTGCCTGAGCAGTTTCTGTTTGTTTAGCACGAACACAAATGTTTATTTTGAAAGCCACAACCCTGCTGGTGTCCATAAAAAGACAACTGGCTAACAGTCAGTTTTGTGTGGTGTGAGACGGAGTGACGAGTGCACTCTGGGCAGCCTCTGAGCTTCTGCAGCAGCAGGTGAGAACTAGCTCATTATTACTGTCTGCCTTTTTTTTTTTTTTTTTTTTTTTGTACTTGCCAGTTGGGAACCAAAAACTACTTCTATTTAGAAAAGGGTGCATTAAATTGTATCACTTAACAAATGTCAGTTATCAATACTGTAGTTCTTGATATCATGAATACTCTTAATATTTATGTTGGTAAGGCCTTCCTGTTATTTAATTTACATTTGTATTCTCTGCCTTCTGGTGGAAATATAACTGCGTATCATCTGCATATGTGGCACTGACCTGGGACTGTTTTATTGTGACAGGTCAGCCCTTTTGTATCTGCTCGTCACTCAGTGTTTCTCACATAAGAAAGACACCAGCTATTGCTGGAATGTCTGGTTCAGCATAGATAATGGCACACACCAAGGGCGTAGATTTGGCATGTCCCCACCAATATCCAGCGATTATTGAATTGTCCCCACCAATAATTTGATCTCTTCGAGTAAAGAAAAACAACCCGATAGAAAGAAAAAAAAAAAGCGATCTGTCAGCATCTCATTCACCCAGAGGTGCAGAAAGAGTTAAATTACGTTCTCTACTGGAGTCATACACTGTAAAATCTAATTAGTTCCCAGAACTCAAAATAATTGAGGAAACTCGTTGCCTCAAAAAAATTGAGTAAAGCTTAGCTAAAAATGACTAAATTAGGACAACTTATTTATTTTGAGTACTATTATTCTGTACAAGCTCATTTGTTCCCAGAACTCAAGAAAATTGGATCAAGTCTACGTAAGATGACCAAGTTAGGGCAACTTACTCATTTTGAGTACACTGTACAGCCTTGTTAGTTCCCAGAACTCAAAGAAATTGAGGAAACTCATTGCCTCAAAAAAAGTAAGTAAAGCTTACTTAAGATGACTGTTAGGACAACTTACACATTGCAAGTCTGCAGTATTAAGAATAACTTGATATTTCTGACTGTACAATTTTAATTGTTTACCTACTGACAAACATTTCAAGTTCAACTAAATGAAAAAACAATTTGTGGTAACCTGAATATGATTAAAAATAATTAACAACACTTTTTGTAATGATGTTAAAATCAGCCCAACTTTTATTTTCAAACACAACAAAGTATAACAGCCAACATACTAGACACTGTTCTGCTGAACAACAAACAATTATATTGTCATCACTGTTATAATCTTACAATGAAACAAAGTCTCAGATGTAATTATTCTGAAAATAAGTTTAGGCCCACCACAAGTTTGTTTTGTGCTTACATTACTTATATAATCAAAATAAAATATTTGTTGTTCTGTCCCAAGTGCAGTCTCTGATTTAAACAACACATTTGTTTTTCATTCCAACACAGGAGCTGGAATGTTGTAATGTTTTAAGGATGGCTTGTTTCCAGTCCAGGCATTACTGCCTGAATGACTATCATGGATCGAGGTGATCCAAATGAAGGTGCAGAAGAAAGTCTATAACTTCCCTTAAGTACAGTGGCAGTGGATGTGGGTTGGAGATGCAATGAGCTTGAACCTGCAGGCGACCATCTTCACTGACCACACCATCTGTGACGGAGGACTCATCTCTCCTGGTGTCCTGCAAGTAAACAATCATATTTTTTGGAACATGAACTTCATTGCTTTCTTAAAACATTTTTTTCTGCATTTGGTATAAAACAGACTCCAATTTAGACAATCTCAGGCTCCCTCCCCACCAGAGAGCCCTGACCCCCACCCAACACACAATAATGTCATGAAAACATCATTTTAAAAAGGGCTATGCAAACATGGCCAATAACTTTCATTCTAATGATGTGCAAAATGATTTGGGAACAAAACAAATTTTGCTGTTAGAAAACTTGCAGACTTCACTATAT